TTTCTGGTCCGTGTGAGAACCACAGTTTCAGGCATTGCACTCACATATCTTAAGAATAAGTTTAATATTTAAATAGAAACAATGAGTTAAATTTTTTAAATGGAAACAACCTACTCAAGTTGGTTAAAAGCTAGTTAGCAAAATGCTGAGTTCAGACTGTCTTTAAAAAACATGAATAGCCCTTAACTGATACACTTGGGGTGTATTGTAGCATTTTTCTCTTTGGAGGGCATCTCCAAATAGGCAAGTGCCAGGAGCTGTTACCTCAAAGCTAGCCACCCTCAGCAATAATAATAATAACAATAATAATAATAATAATAATAATAATTAGGGGATTTACAGTATACAGTTTAAAAAGAGGTTTTCTTGGGGGGGGCAGTGTTTATTTCTATTTTTAAGTGGACTGTGTATTCTGGGGCTTTCGTGTCTTTTACAATTTTTCTATGCCTGTTTTCATTGACTACACTTGCTTGAGGTGTAAAATGGCTTTCCATTATTAAAACCATACCCCAATCATGTGCATTGCAGAAAAGGTTGTCGCTGACAACAGTGTTATATGTCTTCTACTTAATCCCTTTCTCTAGTGAGCTGTAGAATCTGCATGCAAAGGTAAAGTGCAGACTAGGAAACCACAAGCTCAAGTCCTAACCTCAACCCTTGCTCATTGTAGCCCAGATTTTAAAATCTGACTCCTATATTTGGGTTCCTAATTTGTAGAGGTGGGAAGCTTAGCACCCAGCTGCCTAAGGCGTTAGGTCCTTGCTTCCCAGACAGAAAACGTACTACAGTAAAGGAGATCATAAAATCATAGAATCAGCTGGGTTGGAAAGGACCTCTGAGATCATCAAGTCCAACCCCTGATCCACTACTGCCATGGTTACTAGACCATGGCACTAAGTGCCATATCCAGTCTCATCTTAAAAACCTCCAGGGATGGAGAATCCACCACTTCCCTGGGCAGCCGATTCCAATGCCTGATTACCCTCTCTGGAAAGAATTTCTTCCTAGTATCTAACCTAAACCTCCCCTGGCAGAGCTTAAGACCCTACCCTCTTGTCCTACTGCTGGTTGCCTGGGAGAAGAGACCAACCCCTCCTGGCTACAACCTCCTTTCAGGTAGTTGTAGGGAGTGATGAGGTCTTCCCTGAGCCTCCTCTTCTCCAGGCTGAACAACCCCAGCTCCTTCAGCCTCTCCTCATAGGACTTGTGGTTGAGTCCCTTCGCCAGCCTTGTTGCTGTTCTCTGGACCTGCTCCAGCACCTCAGTATCCTTCCTGAACTGAGGGGCCCAGAACTGAACACAGTATTCCAGGTGTTACTGCATAACTGCTTGAGGTGGTATTATTGCTTCAGATGTCTTCTGATCAGACTTCATATGCCATCAGTTAATTGCTGAGAATTATTTGGAATTTAGGTGTTTGCATTCTCTATATCGAGTTTAAATCATAAGCAAATCCCCGTTCTTAGTCAGAGCTCCTCCTGAATAGATGGCTGTCAGTCCAGCCCAGAATAACTTTCTGCTTCTGTTAAGAAATACTTACTATCCCATTCATATGCTTAGAGATTTTTTTTAATCTCTCTGCTACACTTCAGAGAAAGAAACTACAGTTTTTAATCTTGAATATGAATATGCAGAACCCTCGCTACAGCATGAAAGGGAAGAGATTTCATGCCTGTACTGAGAAAGGAGCTCAATGGTAGTGCCCTGGGCAAGATAAACAAGCCTTGATGATCCTAAGCAACTTTACCTGTAGCCTCCACACTCATGGGCCAGGGCTCCACTTCAGCTCAAGTTTGAGCATATTCTCCTTATTAAGGTGCTTGTCCTCTTGGACCTGACTTGTTAACTGATCTCTACCTGGTGGGCTGCTAATTGACCTGTTCTTGTCACCCCACTGCTGCCTGCTGGTCTCTGACGCTGTGGTGAGGTCAGTGCCTGAATTGTGGGGTTGCCCCTTCCCCTTGTATTAGGGAGACTCCCCCCTCTTGCTCCTCCCTTATGCTCGGTGAGGAAGCCCCATGGAAGAGGTGTCTTCCTGGCAGAGGAAGGTTAGGCAAGAGGGGGTGCCTGTCCTCCTGTCCAGAGGTGTTCTGGGAGGGATGCAGCTACAATGCTTCTCTTTGGCTTACTGTTGGCGATGTTTACTACAAACATCATTATTATTTAGTTACTATTGCTAGTCCCTATGTGATACAGGAGACTGTAAAGGACCCACATGCCCCATCCAGAGGGGTGGTATGGGTAACTTCATTATTTCTCTGCAAAACTCAGAAGACTTACATCTCCTTTTGATTCCGACAATTTTATGTGTCTGAAACTTGCATACAGTTACTCCTGGCTTCTGCAGAGGAATTGAGGAGAGTATCTAATCTTTATGATTATGCTTGATAGCTGCATTTACCTTTTAGCAAATATTTCTTCGTGGAGTCTCTAATTAATACACGCAGACAAAAGGCTATAACTAGAGGAGGCAGAACAAAAAAAAGCACAGCCTTTTTATACCCAATTAAAAAGAAATATTATCTTAATGAAAACTCTCAAGGAAGCAGAGTGAGTGAAAAAATCAGATCAAAGGCACTTAATAAAAGCCTGTTTTATATGAAACACATTATTCATCAATTAAACAATATGTGTTGTGGAGGAGAGCTCTGCAATAGTGGCAGCAGAGATATTGTGAGGTTCAGCCTGTTGGCCTTACTTAGCATCCTGCTTTCTAGCTTATCCTGCTGTTTTCTCGGGAACCATTTTCCAAATACAGGACTACTGAGCTTAATGTGCATTCACTGGTAAGATCTCGGTAGACAAAAGCAATTACTTAAGGATAGATCCTGATACTATTTTGTGTTTTGTACTGTTGTTCATGTTTGAGGCAGTCTAAATCTGGAGTAATGCGACTTAAGTATATGGAACTAATCTGGTCTTAATTGTGTTTTAATATTTGCTGCAAGGAGCCCATATCAAGAGACTGATTTCAAGGGTAAATATATTTCTTACTGAATTATGAAACACTAACAAAACTACTACAACTGGAAGCAAATGTTAGCAGCAAAACATGACCCAGGAAGATGAACTCTAAGCTCTTGTATGCAAATATTATGTATTAAGTATTTACAGCTCCACCAGCCCTACAACTGAAACAATGTCCTGTCACTAACTTGCCAAATCAAAAATCAAATATGATATTAAGGAAATAATGCATGATCCTGAGAAAGGCTGTACTAAGTTAGAGATGAAAGAAAAAATCTGTACTGGGCCAAATAGACATTTGTTCCAACAGCAGAAATGCAATAATGCTTTCTTCAGGATCACAGAATCATGGAATGGTTTTGTTTGGAAGAAACCTTAATAATTATCTAGTTCCAACTCCCCTACCATGGGCAGGGACACCTTCCACTAGACGAGGTTGCTCAGAGCTCCATCCAGCCTGGCTTTGAACACATAAATTGGCCTATTCAAAGAGCTAATCACAGTGACTCTAAGATTACTTTTTTTTTATTCTGATAAGAGCTAGTTTAGGTAGTCATGGCTAGGCTTCGCTAACGAAGATTTGGGAAGGCTCTATCCACATTTGCTGCAGGCACGCTGGTGGCTTATGAGGCCAATACGTGACAGACATATCCGATTGCAAAAGTCACAGCAGAAAGACTCCTTAGATGGTGTATTCTGCAATACACGGTTCTTTCTGCGTTGCCTTTTCTCCTCAAGGGTGATCCTGCGTGTGTTCTCAAAGGAGACAGCAGTGTTATAGATGGTGTGTCTCATAAGGCTGTCTTTATTTGTGACTGACTCTGCACTACAAGGGCCTTTTCTGACACCTACTTAGTTGGAAATTCAGTAACATGAGAATTCTGCAATTCTTCAAGATCAGCTTTATGTTTGCTACACAAAATGAATTTATATAGTTCCGCATAACTCTATAATCACCCTATTAACTTACTTACCCCCTAATTAATGACTATACTGCCTATTGCAGGTTCATGTGTGATTCTGCTGATAAACTGTTTCTTGAGAAAGCTAGCTAGTCATTAATCTCTCTGATTTAATGCTTTATTTATCTATAGCAGGATTTATCTTCTTACTATGTTACAGATTGCTTCCCTCACTGCCCTATAATACATTTGGTGAGCGACCTTGCCAAAAGCCTCTAACAATCACACCTTTATCTACCCGCTTCTGAGTCAAAGAATGCCAATAGATTTCTTTGACATAATTTCCCTGTTAAAATCTGTCCTGAGTCATTATTCAATTTATAATTTCTACTTAATTCTGTTCTCTGCTGTAGCTTCTACCAAGAGCCTACTTTCCAAATAGGATTTAACAGTTTGCATTTTCTTGCAACATCCTTAGAAACCTTTTTAAAAAACCTGACAATCCTGTGGACTCACCAGCTCCAGCCTCTGCTGTAGTGATCTAGAGCTTGATCATTTTTTATGTTACTTCCTTCTCTGGATGGGTATCCAGTGGCACAGGCAAGTGTGGAGCTAGGACATGTTTCTTCTGTGTGTGACTTTGACCCTGCAGTACCCTCTAAAACACAGCCTACATGTACTCAGAGTACTGCTGGGGAAAGGAAGAAACAATAGAAATGTCTGTCCATAAAGTGAAAGCTATGGGTGACTTAAAACCTTACCAAACAAACCTTTGGTAACTCTAGATAAACAGTTTCTCTAGTCTGAAATGTAGGTGTATTTTAAGACCTGACATTACTGCTGTCTAGAAGAACTTCTTTGTACTTGGAGCTCCACAAACATTTGCAAAGAAAAAATTAGATTTGCAATATAAATGTATGTAGAGACGGAGACATTATTATCTGTTTTCTTTGCTGAAGCACAAAGACTAATTGTCAAGACAACATTGGCAGTCTGAGAGAAACAAACTTTTTTTTCATAACTTACTCCTCTTTGTAAATTACAGGTTTAACTTTCCCATTTAAATATATCCTCATATTGTAGAAAATATTATTTGTACTTTTAATCATTTTTACCTTCTGTTTCTTACAGAAATTGGTGTGCTTATGTCCATACCAGACTCCTACCTACAGTGGTAGTGGACAACCTGGAAACCTTCTCATCAGGCAGAGCGAAGCCTTGCACTTGGCATATTGGATCATGTGCTCAGAGGTATGTAGCGCTAGGAAGAAAGAGTACTTGCAAGTTCTTTAATTATCATGCTAAATTAATACAATTATGACTTTAGAAATTAAATTTAAAACAAGAGGGAGTAGATTAGCATGTTTCCAGGTCTTATCTTCGCACAACTCTATAGCAAGTATAAGCGATCATGACTAGGCATGCCTTCATTCTGGCCCTCTGATCAGTTCAAAGTCTTCAAGTAAATGAAAGGTGCAAAAGTACAAAATCCTTTTTGTGCAGTTTTCCAAGTTTGTGCTCTGTTAGAGCAAAAGGCTTCCCCTGAGAGGCGCAAGTATTTTTTTTTATTATCTCTCTGCTGAGTGCTTATTTCTGGCACTTTATTGCTTTATTCACTGGTCAGGCCGTGAACCTAGGCAAGTAATTGGCCTGGATGCAACTCATAAATAATTACTCTGTCAAACATATTCATATTTGTGGTCTAGGTGCCTCCTTATATTCTCCAAATGCTACATTTCAGTCATGAATGAAATCGGGTTTTAATACATGAATCTGGAAAATAACAAACTGAAACAGCACCAACAAAACAGAGATTACAATGTCTTTTCCCCTTGAAAAATTTCAAGAATCTCTTACAAGTCAGTTTGACTGTTCTGGGAATATTTCTCTAGCTGGTATGGCAAAGCATGCTTAAAGGTTTGAGGTGAAACAGGGAATAGAGGTTCCTTAGGATTTGTGACTCGGAAATATGGTTGATCATATTGCAAAACTCTGGAGTGGACCCTGTGATCGAAATGTTGCCAGTTTAGTGTTTTGGTTTGTTTTGTATTTTCCCCTAATTAAATCTAGATGATTCACATCAGCTTCTTGTGCTGCTCCACTAAATAAATCTCTACTGTATATATTTTTGAGATTTGTGTACGTGGAGAGTTATTTTTGAAATAGCTATTCCTGATTAACTCCTTTCATGGACACTTCATTTTTGTGAGTGGTTTTAGGAATGGATTATGCTAATGCAGAATAAGGTGGTTTTATCATAAAATAAGACCATCCATAAAGCAAAATAACTGAGAACTGTCTTGATTTCTGATCACCTTAATCTTTATTGAGTTCTTGCTGCTGAAAAAGCCATTTCTTAGAGGCAAAGCTGGTTGGGAACACATGCAAAGCTCCTGACAGCTGCTATGAGAATTTTAATATATATAATATTACATCCCTTATGAAGGGGTGATAAGATTAGCTGGAGTGTAAAACAAGGTGGCATTTTTATAATTCATTGGGAGGGTATTTTTTGTCTGACACCCTTCAAATTTGTCTCTTCTTCTGGAACAATTTAGACAGGGATTTTGTGTCCAAAACAATTCAGTAACCATTTTATCATTGTATTTTCTGAAATTTTAGGTGTTCTTCATGTTAGCATTTAGCAACTAGTAGTTCTGTATGATATTATTTTTATTCAACCTTTGGATTTAGCATATTAAAAGGGCAAGGAGACTTGCTGTAGTTTATTCTGTATGCCCTACTGAAGCATGCTAATTCTAAACTGATTTCTCTGTGAAGTTAAGAAAGCTGGAAGTGATGGGGTAGCCAGAACACGCAGAATGTGTTGAAATACAGAAACAAAATTGCTGCTGCCTTTGCAGTTGCACACTGTAACAGGAATAATTGAGGCATCACAATTACGTATCCATGCCCTCCTTTCCTTGACATCCAGAGTGGAAATTTTCACACTTTATTGGATTAATGTTTGTATAATCCTGTTTAAAATAATCAGAATGGAAGGCTTCCAGTGTACACTAAATGTGAGCTGGTGTGGTATAAATTTACTGTGAATGCATTTTTTCACCAATTTCAAAGAAAGTGGTATATGACAATGGTGTTTTTTTGCTCACTTTGTTCAGTTTAGTAGAAATTAATTGTAATATCTTCCATGACAGTTTGCAGTATTTGACTCCTGAATAAGATATTCTGGGAAAAAAATCTGACAGCACTAAATAGACGTCAGGTTCCTTTAAAATTCATGCAGATGAACAGAAGGCTGCAATATTAAAGCTGTGATTGCTATCGAAACACCAAACCCTGGTTAGCTTCCAAGCAGGTAATGAAAGGATAGATTTCACAAGTGAGATAATGTCATGTGGTTATACAGGTGTCCTACAACTCCTGTTCGGTCACCTAAAACAGGTTTAAATTTTTCTTGTTTTTCAGGTCCCAGACAACAACACACCAAGCCTACAGGATCAAACATAAAATAATAACATCACTGGAGTGGAAGTGCTGTCCTGGGTACAGTGGGCAAAACTGCCAACCCAAAGGTAAGTAGAGTTGTTAGGGTTTGAGACTATTCACTTCAGCAAAAGAAAACAATGCAGTTTGGTTTGTGAGCAAATGGCTGTGCTGAAAACCAATACAGCCCTTCCCATTAATTTAAAACCAGAAAAAATACCCAGTAAACTAAAATACTTTGGGATGTTTACTCTTCCCTGCACATGAATTTCCAGAGAAGCTAAACAGAATGTCCTTTCCTCTCTTCCACTCTAAGTAAAGCTCATAAAATCTTCAGCCTTATTTCATTTTGCTAAAATATGGAGCTTATATTCAGTGTGCCTCTTTTTTTGACCTTTTAGTTATTGAGCATTGCAGTGCTGGGGATATTAAATTCAGGTCATCTATTGAATGGTCGCTGTAAAATTCATCTACAGCACTGTTACTCTTTTGGCTTTCAGTTTCAGGCTCTATGAATATATTTTATATGCGATAAAATAAAGTATCGATTTTTTCCACCTCTGAATTGCGTAGGACTTTCGTTGTTCATTTCAGCAGTGACTGAATTTTACTAGATGTTACGCATGGTCCCTGTATAATTGTGCCCTTTTAGACAGAACAGGCTTTTACCTCTGCCCTCGTGATCAAACATGTGGCATCATACTGCAGTTTTACATCTGTATAATAGCTATTTCTGTGGTGCTGGTCTTAAGCAAGCAGCCCTTGAAAAATTAAATATGGCATCAGCATACATGTTTTAAATGAATGAATATTACAAGAAAGGCCATTAGATGTGATAGGGAATTCAATCAGCAGTGGTAAAGTAGAGACTATGATTAAAAATTAATGTAGGGGAATGAAGAAAAATCACTGTTATTCACATCCAGGAGGGAAATTTCAATATTGAAGAGCCAGGACCTCAGCAGGCACAGAATTCTCCTCTGTGCAGCAGAGTGTGGAGTCAGATATTAACACAGGACACGCTCAGTCATCAAGGCTGTCCAGTGAGCATGGATCAGAGGTTTTAAAGATTTCTTTTCAGAAAAATGCAAACATGAGCAAAAATAGATTAAAAAAATGTAAAGTGTAACATTGAGGGGGAAGGTTAGAGTTGATAAAATTGAAATGGTAACAAAACAACAGGGAAACATTGACCAGGAAGAAAAGATGTATAACTCAATTTGTAGTGTCACCTGTGTAAAACTAAGAATAAAGGAAAATTCTGTGAAGTGTTACAGGAGCAGGTTTGAAATTATATCTCCTGGGTTCTATTTTCAAACCTCTTTTGGCTTGCTGAATAACTTGGAGAAGCCACTTATAATCTGCATAACCAAGTTTACCCATCTAGAAAATTGAGATGACACTTATCTCACAGGGGCACTGGGATATTTAATTAATTAATGCTTGTAGAAGTGCTTAAAGAGATTGGGATGAAAGGTGTTATGTCAGAAAAGCTTTTCTTCCCTGCTTCTGGAATCCTGCCTCCCACGAGGAGCAGACCACCAGCACAAGCCCTGCCTGTATTATTCAATTCCCATGAAGGGACGTCAGCTAATGAACTTGAACAGTTGGGAGCCCAATAGCCTTGTCTTTAGGCACTCCGGCGGGGGAGAGACACTGTAAGCTCTGAGTGGGGCTCTCCAGTGTCACTGAGCCTTCCACTTGGCCTCTCTGTTGTTCAACAACAGAAATGATACTGAAGGATTTCTGTGCCAGGGGAACTGGGGTGTTCTGACAATATGTTTTAGATCCTGGGAAGGCACTGTTAGTGTGATGTGGGTTGCTTGTAGCAAATGCTAATTTAAAATGCCTTCTGGTTTAGCTTCTATCTCAGACAGAGTGAAATCATATGTAACTATTTCAGTCTGATAGTTTAGGCAGGAGGAAACACTTGTCACCATCTGATAGTTATTATTAGACATCTGAAAAAGTTATTTGGTAGCCCCGTTGTAACTGCTTGGTTACAGATGCTTCTCAAGGTAATGCAGTAGTGAGTGAAATGGAAGAGATGTATTCAGATCGCTGTTTGTAACCTTACCTCCCCTGTGGCAACACATGGCCAAATTGGATAAGACATGGATTCTAGTCCAGCATGGACAATGCAATTTTATAAGAAACTTTTTAAGAATGGAAAAATGTAGACATGATTTCTTATAAGTCTCATGAAACATCACAGTATGGACAATTCAACAACGAAAGCATCGTTATTTTGATTTGGGAATATCAAATGCTTAACTGGGAGCAAAACTGTTAAAACAAAAGGACATGTAAGTTCTGTGCTGCAAAGTTCATGACCTGTCACTTTTACTAAAAAAAGCTTTATTTTAACTAACTTTGTGCGTATAGTAATGTCTGAGGGGAAGAAATCTCAGTTCCCTCATGCACATATGGCCTCTAAACACTATGTTATGTGTCACAAAAGATTTTAAGAACTGGAAGATGCATCTTCAAATGTAGATCATTCTGTGTTTGAATTCGGCTCTGCTGTAGAGTGAGGCTGAGGTGACCGAATGTGTACGAGTCTCCTTCCATTTGCCCCGGCCGTGGTTTAGAGCAGCGGCGGGCTCTGCCAAAACCTTTGTCAGCACCGAATTCCCTGGCGTGGCAGTGATGTCCTTTCTCCAGCAGATGGCTGTGCAATGTTCCGCACAGGAGTGAGAGCCGTCCTCTGCTTAGGCTGAACTGCACACACAAAAGGTAGCAATTCATCTTGAAACATAGAGAATGGGAGGAAACTACCGAACCCCCGTAAGGGATTCCCCTTCAGCCACTCCTGCTTCATCAAAAATATGTTGCAAGAAAAAGGTTCAATTTCCATATTTTTAATATTCCCTGAAATGGTTTTGCACACTGTGTTTAAAAATACATGGGACAATAAATTATACATCTAGGCCAATATATTGAATGACAGGCCCCTAATGTTGCATTTCGATATGCATTACCCAATATTTCTGATATAACTGGAAGAATTCATTGCTCAGGGGTTTATACTGCTGCTTTATTTGGTTTGTTCGGGTTGCTTTGTTATTGTAAATGGCACCTATAAGGTGGGTCTAACAGTCTAATATTTTATTTTTTTAGCCTAAACTGAGCATACCATATCTAATTCTTAAAAGATCTCAAATGTGAGTCATTTGATGCCTATTTTTACCCTAAAGAGTATGCGTATTAGATTTTCGGTTTGGTGCTTCCATCATATCTTCCATTATCTAACATCTAAGATGGGAAATCTGAGCTGTGGGACCAAGGAACATGTAAATGCAATCGCCATACGATGTCTTGGAATCGTTCTGTTGGAAAAGGCCTGGAAGAATGATGTAGGAGAAGCTATATTGCCAGTGACTCTTCTGAAATGGTTTCACAAATGAAAAGCCTGAATTTCTAATGGTGCCTGAGGAGTACCTTTCCTATATAGTGATGAAATTTAAAGGGTGTACAATGTGTGATACTGTCTCTGGGTGAGGCTCATGTGTGTGTGCATCTCTGGCTGCAGTCCTTGCTGCTGTCAGGGGCAGCGTAGTGCACTATTGGCTCGCTCCATTACTGGTTTGCTCCAACAGAAATACTGAATCCTGGGTCTTACAGCAATTAAGTTATCTGAACAGTTCAAAGCATTAGTAAAACAAGCACACAGGGATAAATATATATCCTTGGAACTCTAAAACCGAACAAAACTGTAACTGTTTGAGTATTCTAGAATGTGGAGTTGTGAGTGGGGCAGTTGATTTATTAGGGAGGATGAAAGATAAGATTGATAGTATAAAAAAATGTGGTGTCTGTAGCACTAACAGTGTCAGTGAATGCATTTAAAGCAACAGAAAGGCTGGTAAATGAAAGAATAAAAGGACATCAATCAGCTGGTCTTTATCACAGGCAAGTAACTGACTCCCTTGTCATAGATTATATCACCACATCCCCACCTGATAAATCCTATGTAATGAGTTGGGCTGAATGCAAGTATTTAGCAGTCAATAACCGTGCCACAGGAAGATAACAGAAGCTGTTTTAAATTATAACTATATGAGGATTTTGTATTTCTTATCAGCCAATCTCAATAGATTCTATGAAACTCTCAGTCCGTACGATAATTTCCTCTGAGTTCCTATCTTAATTTTTACAACCCCCTTAATGTACAACATAAAACATCTTATATCACCCTTAAATCTTTTTATCTTGAAATATACTATTTAGAGATGGATGAAACATGGAATTTCTCAATTCAGCATTTTATTCTGTTTCCCTGGAAACTCACATTATGGCTAAACTAGATTTTAATATTTGAGCTGTAAAATAATGTCACCATGCCCAAGCTATTCTGCTTGTACTGTACTAAAGACTGGAAATCACATTAGTGCCACATAAGGGGCATTCCTTAGATATGCTTCTCCTGGAACAACATCCACTTCAAAATGTTTCATGAAGTGAGCAAGCATATAAAAATTGGTATGAATTTACACTAGCAAACATGACCTACTTTGTACATATTTCATTTTTTAAAAAAATAATGAAATGAAAACAACACCACCAAGCCTAATGGCTAGAGAAGTATGTCAGGAAGGTGGAAACCTCGGTTTGGTTCCCAGTTATCCTGTCAGCTATCATTTGTGAATGAAGGCACTTCACTTTTCTGGACCTCAGTTTCCCCAGCTGTGATACTGAAATAATAATAATGTCAGTACAGCTTTTTACAAATTGTTTTGTGATCTTTTAGGCTGAAATGTGAAATAAACACAGATAGTCCCATTTGCCATCACCAAAGAAAATATTTATAAAATTATCACCTTTGTGAAGATTTTTTATGTGTGTACCAGTCAGAAATCTCAGATGATATTTGTTGGAACTTGGAATTTGATTATGTTTTGAAATGGTTTGTATTTTTTAGGTTCTGTAACAATGTAATATCACCATTGCTTTAAGTGGTAACATTTCCATAGTTGAAGACCTGTGTAATCTGTTAAAAAAAAAAAAAAAACAAAAAAACAAACAAAACCAAAACAACAAAAAAAAAAAAAACAAAAAAAAAACCAAACAAAAAACAAAAAAAAAAAAAAAAAAAAAAAAAAAAAAAAAAAAACAGGCCCAAAATTAGTTTCAGCAAACCTGATTAATTTTGTAGCTATAAAAAGCCCTAATTAATTTTACAGCTGACAATCTCTATATTGTCTTTGTATTGTTGTTTTATATTGTTCTAATATATTCCTCTAGAATTTTTAGCCCTGAGCATTTAAAAATTCTGTTCATTATAAAGTTTTGGTATTTTAATATTAACACCAACCCCTGCCAATCTTGACAAGCCATTTATAGAATCAGTCAATGTCTTCATCAACAGCGTCCCACATTATATTACAGATGCACTAAGCAGGTAAAGAGTCACTGTAGATGAAGTAGGCTTTGGTAAAGTTGGTATAGAAGAGAGAGAGAAAAAATTGTTGTGGAATCATCCAAATTGTCATGTTCTGTGGTTCACTCACCTCCTTTCCTCTTTCTACCTCTTTTAGCTCAAGAACAACAATCAGTTATACATAGCAACCAGGCTGAAAGCAGCAGAACTGTCATTGAGAGGACACCAGGAACTCCTCAGGACCCCAGTGGGCCAGGTCAGTTGTTACCATCACTATTGCCTCTAGCCCAGTCACTGACCGTGTGACTCACTAAGATTACTGCAAAAACAATTTGAGGAAAATCCCTGTCTGCTGAAGGGACTGGAATGAACCTTCAGAGTTTCTAGCAGTCATGATTCAGTGGTATGCTTATCTGATACAGATGGGCAGAAGAAACTGAATTTAAGGGTACCAGCAGCTTAGCATTTATAGAGTGTCTTGTGTCTAAATTAAAACCAGGAAAGTATGCTCCATAGAAATATTTAAACTATTGTGTTACTGAGTAAAATAGATTAATTAACAGTTGGGGGGGGAAATTTAAAAAATAAACAAAAAATACCAAAACAAAGAAACCCCAGAACTAAATCTAGGGGTAGTAGAGACCAGCACTGGTCATAAAAGAAAGTGTAATGGTGTTAATTGATTATCTGAATGTGTGATTATTGTTATGTATTTCCTTACAAAAGTTGATACTTTATTCAAAATGAGTACAATGACACTTCAAGCTTTAACAAGGGCAGCTTAGGCGCATTTAAGCTACTCTGTCTAGGATTATCAAATAGCTAAGGAACACAGGGACAGTTTTATACCACAGATGCTTGAGACTATTTCTGATTGCACTATTCATTTGCTCATTTTTGCATTTACTTTAACCTATCTAGACTGTAAGTTTTTGGAACATAATGTCAGTGTTGTCTTGCAAGACATCTAGCATTGTAAGAGCTAGCATTGTAAGAGCTGGTTATTAACAATAATGCTTTTATTCAGATAGTGATGTACATTGAGAAGTTGTTAGATGACTGTGGTGTGAAAAGCTTCTCCACTTCTTGGTCTCTAGGAATGCTGGGTGTCCTCACTTCCTGTTGTATTTATTTTTCATTACCATCTGTGTGATTTAAAGTTTACCAGCACAAATATTCCAGAATATTAATTTCGTAGTTGTCTGCATAAATATTCATGGGAACAGAATTTTATTCATGCCAGGCATGTTTGTGCACTCACTAGACTGAGAGCAGAAACAATCATGGTTTATCAGATCATTCCAATTAACCATTATTTCAAATACTAATTGTTCACTATAAAGAAACATGAAAAGGTATCCATGATTTAGAGGTGTTGAAGTAGTTGGCACACTGTACTATACTCCAGGCTGTACCATCTGAAGCTGTATATGCCTTTGAGGGTGTAGATATGTTGGTAGGGCAGAATTATTTAGAAAGTCTGTGTACTCAGAACTGCCAACAATCAGCATATCTTGTTTAATTAACAACTAAAGAAATATGTGAAACATATTTGAATAAGGAAGTAATTTGAAAAAAATCATCCTCTGCTTGTGATATACTCCCCAGCAGTGAGAGAAACTGCATTTGTCAGGTAAATTTTGTGTGGCAAATTATATGCAAGTTATTTGGCAGCATTCTCTACTTACTGTCAAATAAGCTTGTAGTTTACATGGTGAGGAGCCAAAAGATGGACAACATGTGAAATATGGTGTAAAGGATGCATGTTCCTTGAACTTTCTTACTACCTCCCTTTCTTTTGGATCTGTTGATGCTTTGGTTATGGATGTCTACACTGGCTTTCTGCATAATCATCAGCTGTTACACACTCTAGTGTTATTGTCACTCACACAGTTGGCCTATATCCGAAAACATTTTAAAGAATCAAATAAATAAGGCAACTTATGTTCTCAGATCTGTGTTTTGCAGTTGTCAATATACTGTTCTGGGCTGGGATATTCATGCATGCTGGGAGAACGGGATGTCAGAATTGAGATCACCACAGGGTTTTATGGAGACAATACACATGTATGTGCCTATGTCATATATGTTTTTACTTTAAATCATGACTGAGAGACAGAAAAAGAAAGGGAAAGAGTGAATCTGGCATGAAAATGTAGAAAAGTATTTCAAATGGGAGTTAGGAGTCTGTTGCCCATTGATGATACTGTGTTAGCAACCAAGTTTCTCAATGGTGCAGGGAGGAGGATGTTGTTTAGTAAAGCAGACAGGACACATATAAAGAAGTGAGCACTGGAACGTGCCACTTCTTTTAGTAGGAATTATGCTCTGAAAAATAAATCTGAAATTGGAATCTGAGCTCCACATTAATTACATTTTAGCTATTTTTTTAAATCAGAGTGGGTAAGTCTAGAAGGAGAGAGATACCTCTTCTGGGTGCCCACACTGCAAACATGACGTGGGGTCAGGACTGACTGCCCTGATCTGTCATTCCATCAGAAGCTGCCATGAATCTACAAGCCAGATTCTGTTTCCAGGTCCCACTATGCAGCCATGCCACTTTCCAGCATAAACCCTCACTTTCAGCTTCATCTATGTAGCTTCTCTTCTTCCCTCAGTCAGAACTGATAGAAACCAAACTGAATAAAGCATTACACCCTGCAGGTTAGGTATCAGTTTGGGTGGCTGTGCATGAACCAGTAATGAATTCAAATCCCTTTTTGATAGTAACAATTCAACCAGGAGCAGAAGTATCCAGGTCTGTTTGTCTGTCACAAAACAGTATGACCATGAAGAATTTTCAAAGATCTATCAATGGCCTGTCTCTGCAGGGCTATTGGAGAGAATTGCCAGAGTTGAAACTAGGTGTTTGAGTTATAAACACACTTCAGTATCTGTGTAAGTAGCACCTTGGGCAGAGAAGACAGCTGGAGATGCTAACATCCTAACCTAAAAAAGCTAGCCTTATTCACCAGGCTCTACCAATTACAATTTCTACTACCAATATACCTCTGCAGGAGAGCATTCTTAAGGGTATTGACATGCTTCATCTGTGCTGACTGGGTGCATTTTCTGGATTTTCCCAAATGCTATCAAGTTAGATAAGCCACATTTATTTTTTACATACTAGAATTTTGAAGAGTGAAAGTCATCAGAAGAAGATGCCCTTTTACATATGACTTGCTTGGGGTTTTTTTGGAGTCTTTAGACCCCTGTGCTTAGACAGGATTTCTGATTATAACTGTTTAGTGCCATGGGAATAGACACTGGTGCCATAATGAAAAGTGACAAAGGATCAATAACAATACTGTAAATTTACACTAATAAATATTAGTATGTACTGCTAAAGAATCTCTTGCATAGCAGTTTTTTAAGTCGTAGCATGGCCGGAATCATGTGTCTAACATCACGTGTCTAATGTAGCCCATTTAGGCTGAATTGTTGAAGGAGCTGACGAGATTTTCTAGCTTTGCTTACAGGGATTCGAGAATTTAATTTTATCAGCATCTTCTGAAAATCCCAGACTAAGTTTGATTACTGTCATCTGTGAGACTCAGATGGCTAGCTGAAGTCATGTGGAGTCCTTATTTCAAGATCAAGGTTTTCTTCACTGCCTTAAAAGCATCCATTTAGGTCTTTTTTTTCTGAATAGACTAAGAGTGTCAGGAACAATTTGAGCAGATTTTAAAATAAACTTGACTTCATAGGTTGAACATCTATTCTTAATGACAGACTACTGATTATTCCAAAGTCCTTTATGTTTTAGCTGTTTTTCTGCCTTGCTGCTGTGTTAAACAAGTCTTTATTTTGACCTGAACAATGAAAAGATGATGTATTCCTTCAGACACAAGCCTCGCAAATTCATGAAGTTATGTTATAAATAGTAAGTAAAAATGAATGCTTCTGTAATTGTGTTAAAGGAGATAGACTAAATGAGGGATAACCAAATACCCTGTAGGATGCTAGGGGGAGAAAGAATGACATTATGTTGATTAAAATATGCTAACCATTCAAAATACACTTGTAGAATTATAAATACTTTATAATGGATACGGATGCTTTAGCAATTAGTTACTGCTGTGCTGCTGAACCTCACTAATACGTGATACATGACAAAAATCAAGATGATTCACTGAAGACTAAAAATTCAGAAACTTTTCACCCCACTTTCAGCTAATGTCTTTTAAGTCAATTACACTTCCTTTTTTTTTTTCACCCCACAGTGGTTTAACACTATTTTTTTTTTTTCTAATTTTGTTCTCTGACCAAGCACTTACACAAAAAATGAACGAGAAGATTAGCAGTCAAGAGACGAAACTGACTTTTCTACAGAAGAAGGTTGACAGCATTGCAGCTGCAATGAATGATGTGAGCAAGATGCTTTCTTCTCTGGAAGGCAAAATCAATGAAGATAAGGGCAGAGACTTCCAGTCTTTTCTAAAAGGTAAGAAAAATAAATTAATGTAATCACTCACCCTGCAAGGTACCAAAAAAAAAAAAAAGGCTAAAAGCCTTCATGGATTGTCCTGTTCTATTGCTCAACATTTATGTGGAGAACTCATTTTTAATTTCATTTCATAACAGAGGGATTTGTTTATTTCACCATTTTTTATGGTGTCTTTCATAGTGACAAAAAATTTGTATTCTTGGGTACTACATCCTCTACATGTTAACTTAAGCCATTATCAAGGCATTTTCAGTTACATAGAACTTCTGCAAATATTCTTATCTCTGTTTTTGTTTATCTGACAGCAGATAAAGGTTGTAGTATTTGCCTTGCTACCAAGTCTAACTAATATGCCTTAATACATAATTCACATATGCAGGGGAAACATATAAGGAATTCTGTTGTGGTTGTATTAATAACATGGCAAACATCATGCTGAATAATTCACTGCCCATATTAGGCTACCTTTGATAAACATCTGTACTCGTGTTCCGTATATGAGGAAGACACAGTTAGAGATCAGGAGCTTGGACAGATCCTCACCAGCAGAATTATACATCCATTTTTTGTGAATCCTGCAGCAAGACCTGTTTGTTACCCAACTACAAATGGTGCTTAACAAGCAGATTCAGACTGAAACTTTCATTTCCTTGATGTGCAATATTTTTCTCGTTTTTCAGGAATTTTCCCTAAACTGTATTTTACACTTTAGAATCCAGAGGATTTTTCTACTGATTAAAAATAGAACAAAGAATCTGGAACTCCTTACGTTGAGATAAAACTTCATGAAACAATAAGTGCTTCTGTATACCCCTCAGATTTACCAAGTTGGACCTTATTTCTTATGTTTTCCGTCCTCTGTCTCCTGAGTTGCTCCTGCCACGTGCTAGATGGCTCCCTTGTATGCAAGTTTATTCCATCTCTTGATCAATGACCTGCTTTCACCCCTCCACATATTGCTAGATGGCATTCTTGACCTTTGGGTATACATTTAATTTGTCTTTGAATATTTTCCATTTCCCTTCTGCTTTCTCCTCATTCTTTTTCATATTCCACTCATTCTATCTGTCTTTTTCATGCTAGTCTAACAGGTGATTTGCTGCAACCTGCGCTCCTGCTTCTCCATTCCCCATCTATATTTCAGGGTCTGAGTCTTAATTAAAATGTGCTGTCCAAAAAAACCCCCATTATTTCACACTTCTCTTTAAATGTGTTTCAAACCTTTATTATTTTTGTGTGCAATGCTTTATATTACACCTGTTTAGACAAAATCTCCAGTTGATGGCCCTTTTTTGGTTTATCTTCTCAATCTATCTCCTAACCAAGTAGCTCTAATGAAAATGATGCTATCAACTACATTTCTTGACTCTAATAATGGGCATTCTAATACAGGTTATACTTGGCTTGTACATAGGTAAACAGCAGGAATGAGGGAAGGAGGGGAGAAAGAACAAGGTTAATGTTTTTGTTGGCTTTTATATGTAGTGACAAAGGGCAACTGTGGTTTCTGTCCAGAAAACGTCAGTCAGTTGTACTCCAAATTCATAAAGAGCATCCTAAAGTAGCAGGACCTGGAAAGTTTCCATGCTGTCCTGTAAATTGGTACAGAGGTGCAGTATAGGCACATCAGACTTGCTAAAAATTACACTTAGAAGCTCCACTGTAGAAAACTACAACTTTCTCCACTACCATTGCCATCCTGAAGCAATGCACTTTCAAAGCACACCTAGGTCTTTAGTTGCTTCATGCACCTCAGACTTTTTCCTTCTTCATCTACTTTTCTGTCTTCTTCCCATGGTGCCCAGGTCCTTTGCTCACAATCCATACATCACCTTTTTTAATTATTGCAGAAATTCCAAGTTCTGCCCAGCTTTGTATAAGGGTTTGTTAGGAGTGAGGTCTGATTCTGTGACCAAGCAATTCAGTACAGTTTAAAAAGTCTTTAATTCTTAGTTTCATCTGTAAAGGGACTTTGGGGACACAAACCTGTCACTTGTTAATAGGGGGCAACACTCACTGGAATAACTGATAAGCTTCTCTAATTTGATTTGTTAAACCTGTTGTGCATTTTAAAAATTGCTTTCAGTACTCAGGAGGCTGTTTGCACTTTTTACTTAAGGAAAATAATTTGGTATTCTCCCTTTAATTTAATAAACTCTGCTTGCTTCTTGATATTGTTTTCTTCCTCCTTCAACTCCGTATTTTATAGACATCTTTCCTCTTCATTATTAAAATGTACATACCTTTAAAAATGAACTCAACAATGGAGTGTTAATCACTTCCAAGTCAGAAATGTCATTTACAGCTGCATATATAACCTTAATTCAGTCTCCTGTGTACGTACATTTATTTTGCACATTATTCTTCAAATAATTGAAACTGCAAAGGGAGTATATGTTGACACAAAGTAATTACACCCTTTGGATTTCATCCAAGAAGTTAAAATTGAAATTTATAATCTCATAAAAAGTGCAAAAGGTCTTTAATGTTCATAGGTAGTTTGGACCTTTCTATTTCAAAATGAACAACAGAGAAATTGAGTTACATCCCTGAGTGCACAGCACGTATTCTCAGCTCAAGCTCAAGAATATACCCAATTGTCACCTACAATACGAGTTTGGGTCAGGTCTTTCTGTGGAGAAGTGTGCTCCCACAGCCCCTGGTGGGCTTTGGAGTAGCGCTTATTTACTTGCTACCTAGTTGTCCTGGCCAGCAAGCGGTGGAGAGAGAAACCCAAAGCTGTCTGTTTTATCAGGCCCTACACCCCCTTGGAAATGGGAACACCTGAAAACCAGAGCTGAGCTCCATAATGCACTTGCAATCCAGCTAAACAGAGTAGGAATAGGAGAGAGGGTGGCTGGCACCTTCTTGGCTGTCACAGAAAGAAAAGGTATAGATCCTGTGGAACACCTCTCTCAGCAGGATGGTCTGTTATCAAGATTTGTTGCTGAGACAAAGGAATTTAATTGATTCCTCACAGAAGGTTTAGAGTAATCTTGATTCTTTCCACAGCCATTAAACTTTTCTTCACGGCCCGCTGTGTCTCAGAGCACAGAACATTTTTCAGCATCATAAAGTAACCTGACCAAATCATCACTTAGAATGGTTTCGCTACATGACAGTTATTTGACTCTGCGTTCACTTCTTGGTTCTTCCTCTCAGCTGCCAGGACATCTTTATTCTCAGATATCTCAGTGTGTAAGTGTGCACATACATGTGTGTATTCATGTACATACATCTGTCTAGTCATTCACTTGCTCTTCAGGTAGTAAAGAGAAAAGTAATAAAGGTAGTCTCAGTATTATCACTGTTGTTTATTATGCTTTGTGTAAAATTGCTGTTGATGGTAGCTGAGTTTGTCGCTTATGAAACTTCATGTTATATTTCTGAAGTGGCTCTTTCCCAGGCTAGCCAACTTAGTGTACCTGCATACTATATCCTGCCTGGAAAAAAGCCACCAGCTGAACATATGAAAAACTACTGTGCTTCTCTCTAGCTTGCTGAACAAAACCATTTTCATTTGGAATCCTTTTGCACCCTTGGAGCCCAAAATTGCATTGCTTTTCATGGGTTTGATTTCCTGACCTTTTACTGCCCTTGATGAGAATGTACTTTCAAATAAGTTTTTAGAACATGCCTTGGTGTTCTACAGACAAATCAATAAAATCCAGGCTATAGAACTAATTGAGAGGAATATAGGGGAAGGCAACAGAGAATTTCTACCTTTATCAATACAGTTTTAATCAGAGAACCTATGGTCATCGAGGCATTGTCAATGTTGAACGATTTAAGCATTATATCACAAGCTGGCTACTTGGGTAGTAGTAGCAGTTCATTTGGTTTAGGAAAAATATGTCAAAAATGCTTCAGTGTTTTCCTTTGGAGAAAAATTTTAATAAAAATCCTCCTAATCTCACACCAAAGCAGAACTACTGCTCTAATTAATTACAATATATTATGCAGCATATATACATTATATATGCATATATAATTACAATATATTATGCAGCAGTCTTTTTTTATGATTTTCTTGACCCATCTAAGGCTATATGGGAAACATATTTTCATGTTGTTCACAGGAGCAGAATTCCCACACATTCACCTCTGCCTAGTACTTTTCAAAATCAGTATTCCTAGGAGCTATTTAAGGAGTTGTAGTCTGCAAGACTAAAAGTTTCTACCTTTAAAATGTCTGCATTTTGCAGCAGTTGTCATGTTATTAACTTAAGCTATTCAGTAAGGTTATTCTTTGTATTTTTGTTCTTTCTCACTACAGTGTTTCATATGATCACTTAGCACATACAGTAGCAAGGTCATAGTCTCTGCTTTCACTTCTTGATCATAGTGGTGATAAAGCAGTTGGTTTTTCCTTTACTTTTCTAGTGGAGAAAAGACACATGATTTTATAAGAGAGCCACAAAAGCACACAGATCTCTTTTCAGTGCTCAGAAACCACTTAAGTAGGAGATCAAAGTTGAAACCACATGCAGAGTCTGAATTTACCTTTTCAAAATAACAGCAAAACTCCCGTTGATTTCAGTAGAAACAGGGATGAATCCTCAAACACTATTAGACATCCTCTACGTTTCTCAGCTTTAAATTTTGCTCTGTGGGGCAGTGATGTGTGTGTTTTACTTCTGTACAATACTGTGTTTGCTCACATTGTGGGAAAAACTTAGATGTGGCTAACACAATTGGTTTGATTGTTTCCATATTTCTCCTTTTCCCCAAAGGTCTCAAATCCAGAAGTATCAATGAATTAGTCAAAGATATGGTCAGAGAACACTTTAAAGTATTTCAAGGTGAAATGCAAGAGAGCATGGCTCAAATTTTCAAGACTGTGTCTAGTTTGTCAGGTGAGCTTGAAAATACAAAAGAATTAGTCAAGTACCTGAATGAAACCCAACAAAAATTTGCTCAGGAGAATGACAGTGGGCCAACAAGACTTGACATTCTGGAGCTAAAGAGTCACATGGTGCAGATGAAAGAAGAAATGGCCCTCGCTTGTGACAAGCCTTTGAAAGCTTTACAAGAAAAACAGAAATCATTGGAAATTAACTTGGAGCACCAACAGTCAAGAAGTGCCATTTATTATGAGTCTTTAAATAGGACTCTTACTGAAATAAGAGATGCTCATGAACAACTGTTATCAGCTGAACAGTCTTCAAGACAAAGCATCCCTTCAGCAGATAAAGTCATGGAGTACAATCTTACAGAGTACATGTTCACACTGCATGAGAAAGTAAAGAAACAAGGCATGATGGTGCTGGAGATCTATGATGATTTAAGAGTCCAAGACAGCAAGATCAGCAATCTCAGTGTTGCACTGGAAATTCAGAGAGACTCTGTTCTGGGGGTCTGTGATGACATGTTGTCAGAGAGCAGAACAAATTTCCAAACACAGCTGGCAGCAACCCAAGAGAACATGCTTGTCCTAAACAAGAGTCTCTCTGACCTGTTCCTACCACTGGACAATAAGATGGACAAAATGAATGAGCAAATTAATGATTTGTGCTATGATATGGAGATCTTACAACCCTTGATTGAACAAGGGGTACCTTTTAGTCTGACTGCAGAGTATGAACAACAAATTCAAGTTAAAGATATCAATGAGAAGCTTGAAAACCTTACTACTGTCATTGACATAATGACTTCTGCAATGAAGGAGCTTTCCAAAACTCAGGAAGTACTTAAAAATGAGTCTCAGGCTTATCAGGAACTGCTTGAGAGTCGTATTAATGAATGCTCCATGGAAATAGAGGATGGCTTAAACAAGACCATGATAGTAATAAACAGTGCTGTTGATTCTATTCAAGATAACTATGTCCTGAAAGATACGCTACATGCTCTAAGAAATGAGACTGAAATCTGCTGTGGCAGAGTTGAGAAACTGGACAGCATCCTGGCTTTCATTCCTGAGTTCCAACAATTGAATGAATCCCTCCAGACACTACTCAATAACAAGAAGTATGAATTCACTTCACAAGTAGCGCCATCTCTTTCTGATCTTCCATACAAGGAGTCTGATAAAAGTATCCTCCACAATTTCAGTAGACTTCTCTACATCTTAAATGATACAGCATCAAAAGTGGAAAATCAGCAACAAGATATCAGCCACCTAGAAGAAAAATTACTTGACTCTGTGGAGGAATCAAAGGACCATGAGGTCCGCCTTCTGAACGTAGAGTCAAAAATTTCCAAGTTTCTGGCAAACAACTGTGTCTCGCTGAAAAGAACCAATGCTGCCTCAACAGAGAAAGAACAAGTGGTCTCACTTCAGCTTCAGACGCTGAGTTCCAGAATCAAGGCCCTGGAAGCCAAGTCGATCCGTTTCTCAAACGTCATCCCACTAGTGAACAAGACGGCTCATGAGGCCTGGGGACTGTGTCAGGTTACCAACAACAGCATCCAGAGAGTGAACGCGAGTATCCCTGTGCTAATTAAATCTGCTCAGCCAGATATACCCCTGCTGCAGAGGGGCCTCAAAGAGCTCATTGAATCTGTCCTTGAAGTAAAAGCAGGAACTATTTTGACAAATTTAACCCAGCATGTTGACATATCAGTGGTAAATGCAGTGAACAATATCACCAAATTCCAGAAGCAGATGAAGCCAGTTATAAAGAAACCAGCCCCAGTAAAAAAAACAGCAGCAAACATCACCACGAGCCTGGCAAGCCGAAGTCAAAGAAACACGGATAATACTATAGATCCAGGTAAAGCATTTTGCTCTACTAAAAATCAGGGTGTTTTAATAAAGGCTTATGTAACCATTGTGATGAACTGAGTAGCAGAACTCAACTGAGGGTAAGAAAAAGTCTAAAGACTGCTAGAAAGAGTGTTTCAGAGGAACTTGAGATTACTCTAGTCTCTTGCTTACAAGAGAATTTGTTTTTCTTATGAGGAGACTGCACTAAGGCATCTAGAAGCTCCATTTTAATATTCCTAAATTCACATCTGATCATTTTAAGATACATGTGCATGCACACACCCTCAGCTGAGAACCTGACCTTTGAAATGTAACTGACAGTTTAGACAAAATCTAAAGAAAAAATGTTGTGTCTGCATCTCTATTAGTAATTTCAGTTAAAAAAAAGTGTATACAAGCTGGGAGAGAAATATGGAGTTGCTTCAGTACTTTGTAATGTCAGCAGGGATGAAAACTATCAAAAATCTGAAGCAAGTGAATACACCAAATGACTGTAATGAGGCTTTTGCCAACTCCTTCAGTAATTCATTGAAATTACAGTTACAGTTATACAGTGCGTTCTTGCAAAAGAAGGATTGCAGCCAATAAAGCATGTTTGGCTCAAATCCACCTGGAGAACAGCTCAGTTGAGTAGGAGCTTCCATTCTTAAAATGGGAACTTTGAGTGGGATTTGCTTCTGAGCTTAAATTCAAATGTCATCATGTGAAATGAATTCATATGAATGAATTCACAGAAGTAAAAACTCTGAATTATGACTTTTTGAATCATACTTGAGTGAAAATCAATAGCCCAAGATAATGCTTCATGGAAATATAATTTCTGGCACAATACAGAAAATGAAGAGTGACTAAGTGACTAGAAATCCTGAGATGATTCTAATTCGTGTTAAAATGATACAGATTCCTTAATGACAGAGACATGCCCAGGAAGTTTTGAAGATTCAGACCTAAACCTTTTCTGTAAAGCACTCTTAAACTTATGAATATTTCTAAAACAGTATTTGGTCCCTATTGTATGCAGATGTGGAAATAGTAGGAGCTATCACTTTTGTTCATGTGCTAAGGTCATGGAATCTTCTTTGTCCTCTCTCTTCCTTCCTTTCCCCGCCTTGTTCCTTTGTCTCCTCCTGTCCTAGGTACAGTGTTTCTTGATAATCAATGGAAAGGATAATTTTTAAAGCTCCAGTCCCACGAGTAGCTTAGCTTCTGCTGAAAGCAATCCCCACCAAAGGATTTCAGTCCTTGATTACCTTCTCAGTTAGAGAGGGGGCACAGCTATTCCAGCAGGCAGTCATGCTTAAAAATGCACCAAGATTTGCCATGGTCTTACTACAAATTAGTTTGAATATTTTGCTACTAAAAATGGCAGTTCTTCCTTAGTCATTTCTGTGTTTTGTCTGTTCCTGGCACTGCACAGGATGGAAATTCAAAACCTTTGTTAAAATTAAGAGAAAATGAGATATGATGTCTTTGATCTTTCCCACATCGTCTACTTTGTTGGAAAATATCATTGGTGCTACCTGCCTGGAGCACAGAAAGGTGCCACCTGCTCTGTCTTTCACTCAACATTAATGAATTAATGTCTTTCCTATTTATTATTTATCTCATACTGAATTTTAACAAATAACTTGCTTGATAACATTGTACGTATTCTCACTCCTACAGAAAGTGCAGGTCTTGCTGATGTTAAGAAGCCTTATTTCTACGCAAGGTTTCTACGTAGCAATGTTTATTCAGACTTTTCCGCCTATAATGAGTTTTTGTACTCAATAATATTGAATGCCTAGCAAAGTCATGTTACATTTCTGTAAGTTGAAGAAGTAAGGCCATTATCCTAATTAACAAGTATCCATCTTCTGGCTGGGTAGATTTTGCTTCTCCAGGAAAGATTTTTCTCTCAAGTTCCAGAACACCACCCAGAGATTTCTGCCATCTCTACTAAAATTTGTCAAAGAAACCCTGAGGCGTAATTGGCTAATTATAAAAAGTATTTAATCTTAGACTGTCTTTTTCAATTAAGAAAAAAAATGCTAGAAAGATGTGAATGACAATTCTCATTGATTCCAATATGATCAATATTTGATCCTAGTCTAACAGATTTGGGTTCTCATTGGCTTTAATGTGTTCAGGATTTGACCCTGAGGTAACACTTTCCTAAGCAGTTAGTTGAATTCAAGACAAAACAACGTGAGTTTGAGTTGCATATGCAGGGACATATACCTTTGCAGACTTCCTATATTGTGGAATGAACTAAAGAAAAGGTTTATGTCAGCTAGAGGCTGCACTACATGTGTTAGGGGTGAAAACACTAACACTTTACCTGATACTTACTGTAATGGCAACCCAGGGTGGATAAAAAGTAGTGATCTTAAGACAGCTTCAACATCTAACATAAGGGGATATGACAGCCCTTACAAAAATATATATATTCAGTGACTCTTCATTAGTCTTGCATATGGATTATGGTTGGCCTTACCTTCCAATGAAAATACTGTTCTACTGCAAAAATGTGTGATGCAGTGTAAGGGGAACTTAGCTCTGTTCATATTTGCCTGTTGCTATTTAGTGCTGTGTCTGTTTTCTAAGGAGTCTAGAGGCTGCAGGGCTTTCCAAAGGTCCATGTGCTCTCTTGGTGTGAGCTTTGCTTTACTCAGATTATACTACCCTCCCATCAACATGAATAACTGAGAAAAGCTATGCTTCACATATTTATGTATTTAAAACAGTGCGTCTTTGTGAGAGGTAATTTCTTTCATTTCACCATTTCCTTTGTATTTATTTCTGATTTTGTTTTCACAGGATTTCTGAATCTTAACAGAAATGCAAGCTTCCATTTTTGCTTTATCATCCAAGCCTGTAGTGAAATTAACCTATATAAATGTTTTCCATATTAATTTAATTGCACGAGTGTAATGGTTATTCCATTTCAGTTTGATGACCTACACCTCAATTTTGCATATTTAGGCTTTAGACTAATGGATTGATGAAAATGGTTCTTTGTTTTTAAATTGATGGTCCTAAAATCATCACACTGGAAGTATTGAACACCTCTGCTTAACAGAGAAACAGACTTGCCAGAGTCCAAGTAGCTCAGATGGGTCTTGACAATCTGCCCCCACGCAAAACCAGAGGGCACAGCTGAGGCACCTCTCCTTGCTTTTTGCACAAGAGTACTGTGGGTGAACCTTTGTGCTTCTTTGCAGCACAAACACCCTAAACAGCTTATACCTGAATTTCCTGACAGGGCCCAGAGCACCTTAACTGCCCTGAGCATCCTGCACACCCTGCCCATGGGACTGGGATCCCTCTTTCAGCTCAAGCCAAAATCCAAGGCCTTTTCAGTTCTGCTAGACTGTGACTAACCCTGGTTACCATGACCAACCTGCTGTCACAGGTGGCAGTGGAAGGCTTAGACAAATCTGTTAAAAAGCAAAGCCTTGCCAGTGAGTCTCAAGGTACAGAAAGGACTCCCTTGCTTTCTAAACCCCTTCTCAGAGAGGAGTCTAGGTACGGCTAAACCTAATCTTAGCCTCGGGTTATATTAATGGTTTAAATTTAAGGAATTACAGAGGTATGATTGAACAACTTTTGTCCTGCAGGTTTTGATCATTGGCAAAATGAGAACATTTATATAAAATGAATAATTTATTTCATAGAAATGATCAGACAAAAGATCTTAATCAGAACTATTAGTACACAATATAAACACTAAAAATCTACTGGTAGAGTATAATATAGCATAATGTAGTATAGCACACTGTAACAAAGCAATTATTGAAGCAGTTCTATTAAAGCTAGCAAAAAGGAATAATTATAAAGTAGAGATCTGATGAAACTCACCCATACCAATGTTCATGGGGAGACCTCTTTCTCTCAGCCTCGAGGAGTAACCTTGGAGGGCATCCCCAGCCAAGGGAGGAATCTCCACATATACACTCCAAGAAGGGTTATGTCAGAAGAACCTGACTATACCCAAGGAGACTGGACTTTCATAGTATAAAGTGATTGACTGCTAGTTACAGATCTACTAGCCAGCAGACTAGCTATCAAATCCTATTTCAAGAGCAGGATGCATATTTGAAGTCTGGTGAACCAGGATGGTCTTAGCACACTTTAACACCAAGACAGCACCCCGGGCGCCTGCGGTTGATAACTTGCATTGTGTTGGATTATAGGTCTTATCAGGGGTAGGTTCTCCTGCTACACCTGCCATGCTCTGCTTGTCACCTGTCCTGGTGAGGCACCAGCCCTGCTGTCACCCCCCGTTCCTGGGTGCTGGCCCAGGTGAAGCTGTCTTTTTCCTGTTCCCTGACACTCCTTGCATCTAGAATCCTGGGGATGGCCATTGCCTGTATCACTGTCAGACTGAGAGTGCTGAACCAGAGATGATTAATAACTGTAGGCTGACAACCAGTTTGACCCTGTGCAAGCAGGGTGGTTTAGTAGATTCTCAGGCACTTCCAATCTCCTAGGACTTCCTGAGAAACAGTTACTGATAACTAAATATTTAAAAAATGTTGGCTAGTTACTTCCTGTTCAGAAGAATTTCAAAACTTAATCACTGGAGTTACTTCCTTCCATAAGGAGACCATTAAATTGCTAAGTATTTGATTTGCTCCTAAATAACACTCTAGTAGGTACTGACAGAGCATCATTGCTTGTTTGAAGATTTGTTTGCACAGCATTGGCAGTCTATTTCCCAAAAGAGCTTCTGGATATTTGCCCTCCTAAAGAGTAGGAAAACTGAGCATTAACTCGCTATCCTCACTCCTACCATACCAAGTGTAATAAGCAACTGCATTCAGTTTATTCTCTGCTATTAATAGCTACAATTTAAGCCTTTAATTTACAGTCTCCATCTTTTACTCATCTACACTAGTAAGTTGTGAAAGATTAATTAACGATAAAATATGTACTCTAGTAGGAAATCTTTTCCTAGCCTGAACCTCTTGGCATCTTACCCCAAGGAGGGAATACTCTGTCTCAGAACACCCTTCAGTAAGGAAAAAAGAAAAAGAAAATACTGGACATAGGAGTAGCTTCAGCCAGAAATGACAGCAGAAACATGCTATTGTAGCATAGAGATTACCTTCGCAGTGGAGATCTATGGTATTTGCCTCTTACTCTGAAAATCCTAACTTGACTCAACTCCCTTCACAGCTTCTCCTATTTCTATCAAATGGAAGAGCTTCTCAGCTGCTATTAAGCAGTGCTGCACCTGGAGGGTTAATATAATGTAGATAAAGCTATGCCTGAATTTGAATTAACTCCAAGGTTAAGTTCAGGCAAAATCACCCCTCAGCAGACTTTTAAAACAGTAGTCTCAACATCATTGTCATTTCCTTTTTGTGATCATTTTCCTGTTTCTTGGATTTACTTCTTGTTTATGATAAGCAGAGGCCAATTAACAGAGAGACTGCCGTGTTCTTACACAAAGCTTTTGTGTTTTGGGAATATGATATGGTCAGCACAATCAGCTATTTTCCTTCCTTTTCTGCTTTCCTTTCACGCTTGGTAAATATGTGGATGCTTGGTAAATGTAAGTGAAAAATAACTTCAATTAAGTGTGCAGCAAAACTATTATCTGAGAAGAAAACCATTATTTCCTCATGTACAGTTGCCTGTGCTGTGACCCCAGTCATGACAGTCCCAAATTACTTTATTTCAGGCATTAAGGGATGGACATTATTTTCTGTGGAAGGAATTACTGTTGTGTTTTTAAATCATATGCTATATCAGAGTAAATTCAAGTGTCACTGTAGCATGTGCCTTAGCATTCTGCTCACTGAACTAAAATATCACACAGAAATAGTTTACCTTAATGCATCAGTCTGTGAAACGGCTGATTACAAATCTGAAGATAACATGAGCATTACTGAAATATCTGTGTGAAGCTGCAGCTCAACATTTCCCTGCCAATACGTAGACCCTTTTACGCAAGACTTTTCCAGTTCTGACCTACCAATGTAGATTTACCATCACTGGACTGTGTGGAGTTGTTTTTCTAGAGGTCTGCTGGCAGTTCCTGGCAAAAAAAATTTGCTAAAACATATGACTTTTATTTAACCAAAACAAGAGAAAAGAAAAATGTATGGTTTGGGAACGCCTTGTATTCAGAATTTTTCATAGCATTATTTAATTTTTAATGTGACCTGAATTTTCTTCCCCCTAAAACTATTATGACAGCACATTATACAATTACACTCAGTAGTTGCTGTCTCAGAGCTCAGCAACACTGGCCTGACAGATTTTTCCTTACCGGCTGAGTGTGATTTGGTCAGCTCATACATAGTCAGGAACAGAGGCAAGGACATCTTCAGCAAGGGTGCTCTGCTTTGCTCTGTTTGGTGTAATTTTCATTGCCTGCAACAGAAAACTTCTACAAAAATCTTTGCAGACATCCTGGAGTTGAGTTATTCAGGGACAAGTACTGGAAGTGGTTTGGATAGCATTAAAGATTTTTCGTCACCAGGAGCCAGACTCTCCTGCAATGGTCGCTACATGTCTGGGTGGGTCATGTCATAGACAAGACAGTCCAACCTGCACACCAGCAGTACAAAATCTGTATTTTGGTACACCCAAGGATTAGCTGGCTCTGTCCAGAAAAAGCAGCATGATCTAACTTCTTGGAAGCATCTTTTACCTTATTGTGTGTACTTGACCCTCTGAGACAAGCAGAACTTGGCACTTAGAGGGAACTTTGAATATCTTGGGGGCTTGCTGAGTTCAAGTAAAGATAGACCGGACCAGCAAAGGGTCTGAACAGCCTGGACAGAATCTGAAGTTGTCCTTCACAAAGAATTTCAGCAGAAATTATGCATTGACAAAGAGGCTTTACAAAATACTGTAAACTTGGCAAGTGTTGCTGTAATGACATTGTGACTGAGGTTGTTGGTTTTCCTCTCTCTCTTTCACAGGGCAGTATTCAGCTTGTGTCAGTTCCCCGTGCCAGAATGGAGGAACCTGTATCAATGACAGACAGACTTTTGTTTGCGCTTGTCGCCACCCCTTCGGAGGAGTCAACTGCAGCGTGAAGCTGGGGAACGACAATTCCCTGAGCGTCGGCAAGTACAGAATTTAGTAGAGCAGTATGCTGGCAGTATGGGCCTCTGCCCCAGGGCCTAATTAGAGAGCATTTGCTGGTCAGAGGTCTCACATTTCACTTTAATGAGTACCACCTCTAGTAGTAGTGTCCCGTGTTTTGGTGCTGAAGACATCAATCCCAGTGGGTGACTCATGATCTCTTTCTTTAATGTGAGCAGATGATGGGATTAAATTGGTTTGGGACCTGCCACAATAGCTGGAAAGCTCCCTGATGAAATGTGCAGAGTGGAGGGTGCGCAATAGATGTGTTTGAACATGATGTCATGGAGTTTGTAGGGGGAGGTAAAATCACATCTCTGGGGAATACTAGCTTTAACAGGGCCATAAATGCTCTATAAATACTAGTAGTTACCACGATGTGTGGGACTATGGCCTCAAGGAGTCATGTTAGGCATGCCTCTGACTTTCATCAACAAAGGATGTAGCCCTTGAAAGATAATTTCAATTAAAAAAAAAAAAAGAAAGAAAGAAAGAAAAGTGGAAATTATGCTTATTCAGTCCAGAAAACAAGTAAATAATTTACATCCAGGCCACATGGAATGTGAATTATATGCACCTTTCAGCACTCATTTGGCTGATTTTCACTCATGACAGCATATGAATAGTGAATGAAATCATTTGTACAAAAGCAGGTAATGATAGTGTGCAGGCTCAGCTTGAAAAGAAACACATATACTTTTATTCCTTCATTTAACATCAGGAGTGCTAAACCTCTTCAGTGTTCATCTAAGATTTCCGGAGAAATTCTTGGCTTCGGCTCACTCACATGAACAATGAGAGAGATCCTGGGGTGGGAAAAACTAGGAGGTGGTGGGGGGTGGAAAGAAAGCCCCCTAATGATAGCTTAGTATAGGCAACATAAAGTTCCCTTGCTGTTTCTAAAATTTTTCTTTGGTGTATACACCTAGCACTAATTGTGAAGAAAATTATGTTTTTTACAATATAGAAAAATGCAGTTTTGCAGAAATACTATATTTCATTTGCTCAAGCTACGGGATGATGTGATTTCAGAAAAGCTGCTTTTGGTCTTTTGGCTGGTCTGAATTGCTTTTCTACAATGTAACACCACTTGAAATTGTTCTTTATTCCATTCTAGATTTTTCAAAAGGATCATACAGATATGCACCTATGGTGGCGTTTTTTGCATCTCATACATATGGAATGACAACTCCAGGACCCATCAGATTTAACAATCTGGATGTCAACTATGGTGCTTCATTTGCTCCAGCAACTGGAAAGTTCCATGTTCCATATCTGGGGGTCTATGTTTTTGAATATACCATTGAATCATTTAGTCCACGTGCCTCTGGCTATCTGGTCATTGATGGAATAGACAAACTCACTTTTCAGGCTGAAAATATTAATAGTAACAAGTACACTGACAGAGTAATTACTGGAAACGCTTTATTAGAGTTAAATTATGGTCAAGAAGTCTGGCTCAGATTGGCAACTGGCTCTATACCGGCCAAGTATCCACCAGTAACCACATTTAGTGGTTACTTGTTGTATCGTACCTAAGTCAGTCATAAATGTAAGCAGTTAGTCAAATGAAGCAACCTGCATGTGAATTTAGCTTTATCTTTAAATACTTTCTTTCTTTAACTACAGTAAGTTTCTGGAAGTAATGAATGTAATGGCATTTGTAGTGCTGATTCTCCAAGATGTTGCTTGGTTGTAGCCATGTGCACAACCACCAAGAGTCAACAGGTTGGAGATGAAGGAAAAATAAACATCTTCCCTATTTAAACATGACTGGGAAGCATAAATCTAATTATGATCTACAGTTACATTGCATAGACAAACTTACTTACACAAGGTTGCTGAGAATCAGTTCTCAATACAAAGCTGGTTTTGGTTATTCCTTTACACCCTGATTGCATACCAAAAGTGATGGATAGATTTTGATGACTTAGATGCTGGGTTACTACTTAGCTCATTGTATCAATAGATAATCATGGGTATATAATCTGTTTGGAAAAAATATGTTTCTTTTTCATTTTGCCTAACATTATTCACCACATACTTTGATATGGCAGCATTTAATCAATTCATGATTTTTTATGTAACCAGTATAATAACAAACTGAGGGGTTTTTTAATCTGACAGCAAAAACAGAGAGAGATACCTTCAGATTAGAAATAAGGTACTCATTTTTAGCACTGAATATAAGTAGTCATAGGAAAAACACCAAAATGGATCTGGTGGATTCTCTTTGTTGCTGAAATATTTAAACCGCAGCTGGATTTGCCTTAGGTGATAAGTTTTAGGGTAAACATATTGGCTTCACACACATTTTAGCATTTGACCTATAATGTACACAAGGTTAAATGACATAACCAAAGTTTTTTCTAAGTTTGACCTCTGTAAGTCTATGATTTTTTTGTTTCTGCATTATATTCACTAACTACTGAGGCAAGATGAAATGAACTTCAGTCTTCATGTGATTCTTCAAGCATCAGTCCAATAAAAAATTATTTTTAGTTCATGCTATGACTACGTGAAAAAATAAACCCTCAGGTTTGCACCATTATCCTTTGCGAAGTCCCAGGTTGTTGCAGTTTCTTGATATCCTATTGTCTGGTGTGACTGGCTAGGTTTGTTTCTGATTGCTGCCTTTGTTAATGCTAATTGATCAGCTTTTATATGTCTCTGTCTTTGTCTCCCTCCATTTTCTTAAAAGCTGAAAAAAACTAACTATGATTTATGCCAATTTATTGAAGCCCAGTATGGTTTGAAGCTTCCTGAATTATTTTGTTCTCCACTGTCAGAAACTTTTCTTGAAAACATATAAGAATCTTCAGCTCGCTTCTTAGTATTACTTAATATACCTTACCAGATGTTAAGATGGATGTCCATGAAATGACTGAATTCCTCTCATGCTGTCTGTTGATAAGAGAATCTCTTTCCTCAGATGCATAAATCTACATTTTTTTGTTCCAAACTTATATGCACGTTCTCCACCAGAAACACTGGTACTGAAGTGTGACCATGGGCATGTGCCTGTGGCTTTTGGCTACCTGAAGTACAAAAGTCTGCAGCACTGAACAGCATCCACTCAGCTTCAGGGGGTCATCCTACTATGGCTTGTGTTTAAGGACAATAGTTGAGAACTGACAAAAGCTTTCAGTATAAGCCCGTTTTCTGAGGCTCTAAATCCACTAATTAATTGTTAAGAGATCTTGCAGCAGAAAAATAGTTATTAAAATATCCTATGTTTCCTTAAAGGATCTGAAAATACCCAAAACCAAGTCTTTAGTCTAAGGGTCAACTGCAAATCTTGTTAACAGGTTGGGATGTTTTGCTGTTGTTTGTATTTTTGCTTTGTTTTTTTTCAGGCCAGAAATCCTTTCTTGTCTGTAACTGAGTACCATGAACCCTGAATGAGTGTGCTACAGACCTTTCTCCTGTTGCATACCATATTTTTCTGTAAACACTCAAAATCTTTGATACGGCACTAACTCAGCCTACCGTATCATTGAATTTTATCAAATATAATGACCACAAGCCCCAATCCCTCCTTGTATGACTTTGTCATTTTAATGTGTTTAGTCCTCTTCATTCCTGCTGTGGTTATGGCTAAATGGCATGAAAATTACTCTGCAGATGAAATTCAAATGACCCACCAGAGACTGCATCTCTCTTTTAATGTGACTTTCTTCGCCCTTGCTGCCCTTCCTTCTAAATTCTTCAAGCTGGCTCCTCATCTTCACAGACATTATTTTCCCCTAGCAACCAGATAATTTCTATATCACTGTAGTGGTTTTCTTTCCTCTTTTCACCTTTTTTTTTTCCTCACAAAACTAAAAATTTACTGGGCTAAAGTAAGAATTCTGATTAATACCACATTTGTAGGAGTAACAGTTATAAAACCAATTTCCCTAATATAAATAGTACTGAAGCTAATTCTTATTGTACTATTCAAAAGATAATAAAATATAATATTTTAAAAATATAATAAATGTACACTCCCCTTTTTGCACCATGTAACAATCCATTCAAATCTTTCCTCAGATGAATTAAAACTAGGAATAGTTGTCTTTGTCTATTGTTAAAAACTAAAATGCAGATTCTTCACTGTAAAGATTGGTTTGCATCAGCCACTGAGGCTTATTTATGGGCCCGTGACTATGTACCTGAGCTGCCTGGGCTAATGAAGAAAACAATATTGAAAAATAACTGAGGATCAATAAAATCAGTCAGCCTACCCATTATGCAGAAAAGACAGCAATCAGTCTGAACTCCCAGGAGAACTTTTTAGGCATTAACCAGGAAAGGTAGTTCCTGAGGCACTTTGTCACCCCTCCACTTCCATTTTCATGCTCTGATTTGCATTCCCTAATGATAGCAGGCAGCACATCTGAACGCTCATCTCTGCCCACAGCCCTTCTGAGGGACCACAAAGCCTTCCTGAGCCTTTGTACTTCAGAGTGAGCAGTGTTCTCTTTATTTGGGGGACTCAATAACCATGGCAACGTTTTGTCTGATCCGGGGTTGACAAGCCCATCCAATTTACTCCAGAGTTTGCATTATCATTTTCTCACCTATACCAACCAAGTTATCGCAGAACACATTCTCCAGCCCCTCATACACTCAGCATTCACACTGAGAACAGTGGTTTGTTTTCCTCACATGCCATTTCTAGCCAGCACAACCCTGCCTCACTAGAGCTCATGCCAAGCTTCCCTGCTAACACAGGCCTGCCTGATGCTGACTCGTGGGTATTGCCGTCTGTCCCTACATCTGGGATATTTTTGTTCAATTATTTTTTTCTCTGTGATAATAACATCTACATTGGCAGCAAGCAGGAGGAAAGCCATTATTTCTGAACTCAGGCAGTGACTGAGTGCATCTATTAGGAGCAACTCTGCAGCTAAACCCCACCAAAATCAGTGGGTATCCAATGATTAAGCACCTTCGACAGTGGGATAATTAGTGCATTGAGGCAGTTGCAAAACCCAATCTCCCTAGCTCAACTTGGGCAGGTGAACAGGAGAGTGCAAAACAGTGCAAAACAAAATAAGACAACACACAAGCAATTTGAACATCTCCAAAGAATTTAAGTGTATACCATGGCTTTGCACATCTGTCACTGGTGGCTGCTACTTGGGTGCAGAAACTATTGTCTAGCAGCTCCATTGATTTCCTTAACCCCTTCAGCCCATCAGATGTACCACAGTTAGCAAGGTCCACAGTTTTTTTTCAGTTTAGATTTGATGAATCCATACTTTCTATGCTTAACTGACTGTTAGAAAGCCTGATCTCAATACTCCTGTCCCCATGATAGTGTTATCAACAACAAAAGATGGAAACCTTCTTTAGTTATTGTGGAAGAAAGCTTTGTACTTACTAAATCTTCCTAGTGTAATCACATTTTCAGCAGTTTTATAAGAAGTACAAGTATTTGTCACCACCTTGTGTTTAAAATATACAGTAGAATTTCCCCTGGAGTAATTTTCTCTTTGCAAAGCTGCCACTCTTCCTTTTTGTATGATAGCAGTGATGGCAGGAGAGATCTCAAGAGTGAGATATAACAAAACACTGTCTTCAGATGGGACTCCAGTCAAGAGTGCTTGGTAAGAAAGCTTTATAAACAAGCTGCTTCCTAGCTGAAGTTGCTATAGATATGTTAAAACCAACACACTGGCTGGTAATGAACTTCCTTGCCCTGCTTCCCCACCCTCAGAAATCTGTGGTGGCTGCTAGCTGAAAATAGTCTTCTGCATTCGCATGTTACATGTAAACAAACCGAAGTGTTTCTGAAAATATTTATTGTGGTGGTTGCTGTTCAAGATTCTCCTCTTAGAAAAAGCAAGTTGCAAACAAAACAGACCACGGCTGTTTACAAACACTGTACAAGTACTTCCAGAAAGCTTACTATTCGGATTTGCGGGAGTTGGGAGATACCGTACAAATGATCTGAAGTGCCCAGAAGTTCTTTATAAATACCAAAAGCTTTCTGAATGCTCTTTAAGACCTCTATTGGAAACCAGTATATCTCGCATCCACACGGATTTAGCGGGATGAATGGCAAACTCAAGAAAGCTGTCAATTAAAACAAAAATCGTAAAATGATAGACATGTTTAGACAAAGAATTATCCTCAGCTCTATCTGATGACTCTGACTCCTCTGCAAATTGCCTTGGAAGAGGAAAAAAAAGGTTCAGCCATCCATTGCTAGGCTACTTATTGCTACTTACTGAAGTGAAAATACACACATGAGAAAATTGTTTACTATTATTTCTTGTCAAACAAAGGGCCATTACCAGCTTATACAAGCAGGAGACAATTTTCAGGCTCAGTGTTTAGACACATTCTAGAAGAACATAGTAAACCTCAAGTATGGTTTTCATCAATAATTTCTAGGGTCTAAGTAAATCACTCTGTTACCTTGGCCCCAAGACCTGGGTGTTTTTACAGCTTGTTAATAGGTACAACATTATCATAATACATTTAATTCTGGAAAACAGGAACTATGCTTACAGGAGAAGGAGAGAGACCTCACAAAAAGTTTAAAGGCAGTAAAGTAAACTGGAATGCCACCAGCAATGGATCACATAATTGCTTAGGTTGGAAAAGACCTCTGGGATGATTGCATCCAACCTTTGACTGGTGACCACCTTGTCAACTAAACCGTGTCACTGACTGCCATGTCCAGTCATTGCTTGAACACCTCCAGGGATGGTGACTCCACCACCTCACTGGACAGTCCATTGCAACTCTTAACAACCCTTTCCATGAAGAAATTCCTCTTGATGTCCAACCTGAACCTCCTTTGGCATAGCTTGAGGCTATATCCTCTCGTCCTGCCACTAGTTTCCTGGGAAAGGAGGATGAATATGTGTTAAATACAGCCTATATTGGCCAAAAAGTGCTAAAGGTCATTCCTTTACATGTGGAATTATCTGTGAGGAACTCCTAGCTTCCAGAGCAGTAGATACAGATCTAGGCCCACCCTTCAATTTGTCTGTGGGCTTGTCTTGTTTGTATAGGATACGTTTGGACTTTGACTTAACTGGTCTATATGGCCATTTTCCACAAAGGAAGATCATATGTTTAAATAATTGTGCAGCAAAGGCATAAGTCAGGAAAATTACACAGGCCATGTTTGTAAGCTTTAAAGGAAATTAATAAATAAGAATACATTTGCCTTCCTAAATAAGGATGAAGAGAAAAATTAATTAAAACTAAGATGTGGGATAGTGTTCATCAAAAGTTAGGATGCCCAGGTGTATGAAAGGTGAGCTTTTACAGTGATTTTTTTCTACAGTTAGAAAGGCTTAATTTTGAATTATTTCAGAATAGATACTAACTTTCCTCATGGAGTTGTTGTTTAGGAAACCAATTTCTGTGTTTCACTGTGTGAAGTAGATTTTCTTGTGGGACTTCACCTCTGTGGTGTGATATGAAGCTTATTTGGTGGGTGTGTGAAGTTACCACACAAATAAAAAGCCTCCCTATAAATTTCAGAGGAGGCTGAAAGCTTGAACCACTGCTCCTGAAAAGCCCTGCATCAGGTGTGCTCTGTACCTGTTCTCCTGGCTCTCACAGTGCCCATGTGACTTGGAGTTGAACCACAGCCCTGACTTTCCTCAGCCTTTCATGTTTCCTCCCTTGTATTTCTTTCTACTTCCGTGATGGTTTTGAGAATAGTCAGACGGCAGTGACTTTGGAAATTGTTCGTGATGTAATATTCATGCACCACACTTCTTCAGAGCCATAAAATAAACCCAGATTTTTTTCCCTGTATTTTCAGTTTGTTAAGTCCTATGGGCACCCTAATTACTGTCATTTTAGTTCTGTTACAATACAGTACAAAGCTCCAGAAAGCTTGTGTGGAAGACAGGATAGATTATTCTTTCAATCTGTTTCTACAGAAACACAGTATTTCTTTATTTCATTGTTGCTGTTTGTGTGTGTATCCTTTTTTTTTTTCCAGGCAATAACAGGAAAAGCTGATGGGGAGAAATTACTTTTCAAAAAGGTGAAATACACTTTGGGAGAGAAGAAGGTGCACACGGGTGAGAAGCTGTTTAGTGTCCCTTAACATACAATCTCTCCACTCATATGGTAGCTTGTTTCATACCTCTCTCTGCAGGTTGTACTCTCTCAGGTAATTTTTCTGGTGACTGTGAAAATATGTATACATCAAAGGCTCCTTAACAGTACTGAAAAACAATACATCTCTTTTAAAAATCCTTGGAAATCTTTTCAGTTTAAGGTATACTGTTGGTCACCCAGCAATGCTGCCCAGCAGAAGACTGTAGCTAGCAGGTAGACCTTGATCTATTTTTTGAAACAGGATTAGAAGCATGTTCAAAGATACAAAGACAGAAGAGGACTGTTAAAACCGGAAAATAGTTAAAACCATTGCAGAAAAAGTTAATCAAGAGCTGATTTGTGAATTTGTTACTCAGTGTATAGGATAGACTTGTAGAGTTTTTTAAGATTGGAGAGAGTCTGATGAAAAATTATCTTCTCTGCTGATCAGGAAAACTTCCTGTTTACTGGAGACAGAGAATGAATGGCAAGACATATGGATCTGTTAAATGAGATTTCATTAAAGCACTTAAACACAAGTCTTGATGTCCATATGAAAGCAGAAGGAAGATACAGAATAAAGAATCATGTGACTTCCTAAACTTGCCAGGAAAGCTTGCCAGCAGCAAAACCTGAGTAGGTCTGAATAGTGTACTCGCTTTGTTACTGGGAAGAACATGATTAAGATGGGGCCATCTGGGCCACCCTGGGCAATCGCAGCTCTTATTGTGCCTTCTCCAAGTATTAGATCAAAACTGGGATATAAGTTAGACA